AAGGAGATAGCTGCTGTCATCCTAGGGCTTGACTGTGGAGCGGTTGGCGGGCCGGACAGAAGAGCGGCCAGCGGGATTGACGGTCCGGCCGGCGTAACAGGTACTCTGGAGGATGGCTTTGTGGCCCGCCGTTAACACTGGACTGAGGACTGGTAGAGACTCGGGTGTTGGAGACGGACGAAGGGAGGAGGCTTTGAGCGCTGAGCGGACAGATGTAAACGCTTGATCCGCCACTTTGGCTCCCTGGTGTATCCCAGCGCACTCGGATGCCCACCTATGGGCTCGGGGAAGGGAGGGAGCGGGCTCTTTGGAATGGTATATGGAGGGTGCTGGTAGATGGTGAGCTGAAGCGCCCACTTGCTTCCAAATGGGAACAGGACGACTATCTTCCACATCAACAAGGAACTCTGAGCCATTTAAATCGAGGATATAATTAATAAAGTCAGCTACGGATCTATAACAATCGTCAGGAGACAGGAATCGAAACAAATTATCATCATCAAGTCCCATTTGGAAGCAGGCATTAACCATGTGATCGCTCCAGCTCACCAGATGTACAACACTCAGGAACTCCTCCACATATCGCTCCAAAGGCCGTCTAGCCTGCTGTATGTTCCAGATTAATTCCTCAGCCCAGTTCATAATTTGCTTGGTCCAGTGTTCTGTCACGGTGATTACTGTGTGGGAGCGAAGGAGAACGAAGACGAAGAAGTAGCTAATCAATGTCTTCAGGATTACTAAGGCTATAGGCAGGTGAGTTTTTTTTTCAGGGTTGGAGCTGAACTCTGCAGGACTGCGGCTCTCTAGGACCGAACTTGCCTACCCCTGGTATAGACGTTAACACCGGACAAAGAAATCAGGGAACAGACAGAACTTTAACGTGGGTAAATTATCAAATGACTACTCAAAACGAGAGGGAGAAAGGGGAGCACATGGGGAGAAAGGGGAGCACATGGGGAGAAAAACACACACAGAAACAGTCCATACTCCTGACAGTATTCAAATAGAAAATATTTATTTAAAATTGAAATTATATTTCACAATATTATACTTGATTTTTGATCAAAGAAATGCAGCCTTGCTGAGTATGAGGCTTCATTAAAAACATTTAAAAATCATAATGTTTTCAAACTTGACTGTGTATACACACACACACATACACTGTTTAGTTATTAATGTGTGTTAAAGCTTAAATCCTGTTTCCATGATTGTCACTTGACATTATGAGCTCTTAAAATTAATGTTGCTAATGTTGGGATAACTCTGGGATTGAAACATGCAAATTATTTTTATAGTAGATTTTAGGTCAGATCTTAAAATAGTTCTGTACTGGCACAATGGAAATGTTGTTGGTAAGATATAGTCTGTTATTATTTAATACATTTTGATGAATTCTCAAATTTAGACCCACATACATTAACACAGACCGTGTATAGTAAAGTCTTCTCTAACCTTTTTGATAGAACAATATTCAAAATGTGAAGAATGATTATGGATTTTGACCAAGTAGCTTTGATGTTAAAATTGTGTCACCATTTATGCATGAACGGTACTATGTTTCTAGCAGTTTATCTAAGTCATATACCAACAGTTTAACAGTAAGTGAGTGAGAAGTGTTTTGCATGTTTCATATTACTAACTGAAACACAAGACACCTTCAAGTCAGGCTTCTAACAAACTGCAAATATGTCACAGACAACCGTTCTGCACACAATAGAGCAGTTTGCCAGACTGTCCCAGGTACTTTCCATTTAAATTGCAAAAGACTAACTACAGGAAATTCAGTTAAAGCAAACTGAATTATCAGACAGTCATGACAACAACATCACTGCTCTGTTTAAAGCTCACAATAAACTCATTACTCACAAAATGCTTTTTAACGGTTTCGGAATATCTTCCTTGCACAGAATTTACAGTACAGACGATATGATAAAAAAATTGTGCCTTTTCACACTGCACAATTATATCAATCTGATAGCACATCAATAGCACATTGAGCTGTGCTATTCAGAAGTTTTTATGACACTAGAATCATCATGATTCACAAAGAGGCCTATAAATAACTCTGGATAGAGTGGTAAAGCCATCATCAAATGCATGCACAGTTGATTCTATCCTTTTTGAATACATGTGTCCATAGACTTGCATTAAAAACTGTATAGAAACTCACAGAGTGAGAGAAAGGCAGAGATTTAAAGAGTAAAAAAAAAAAGTTTTTTTTTTAATAATGACTCCTTCTTTTTACATGACTAATTACTAAGTAAAATAAATATTTATCCATGTAATCATATTGTTGCTTAATGCCACGATTGACCAATCAGAATCAAGTATTCCAGAGAACTGTGTATGTAGCTAATTGAGAGAATCCATGCATTTTATCTTGTTTATCAAATCAAAATGACCCAGTCTGTAGGAATCTGTAGTGCAGCATGGGGAGATTTGCAAAGACCACTACGCAGCATCTGAAAGAGGCCTACTCTAGAGAAATAGGATTATAGTAAAGAGTGTGGCCTCAATAACATGCTCTTTTCACAGCCATGCCATATTTGTGTTGCTCCAGCTCAAAGCTGCTTCATTAAAGTCCCGCAATTGCTCATCAAGGCTGCCTGGTGGCATTTTTTCACTTTCACTAGTTATTTTTGTCATAGGCCTCGATAATGAATGTGTGACAAGTAGCATGTTGATGTTTTCACAGATTGAAAGGATTTGTCAAAATGATTATTTTACTGGGTCATTAGTTCTCTTCTTTGACATGGGTTTATTGTCCTTTTATTACACCCTTGTTAGAATAGATGCGTTTGGTTTGATTGGGGACTTGATTACTTTAATCTGACATGCCCATTTCCATGTTCCATTACTGTATCTCATTTTCTCATATTGGGTTAAATAGTAGTGAAAGTGAAGACAGTTCCTTTATTTGAATCTTTACCATCACGTTACCACTCGCCCTAGTAAAAAAGTAATATATTTAAAATACATTTATTTCTTACTAAATATAGGTAAAATCTACATATCACTCGAGACTTACTGATATAAAAATTATAATTCAACTTTACTTGGAGTACTACTTGTGCACAATGCACATTTCTTAATATTAAACCTAAAATGTATACTTGCTATAGTTCCACTTTACCACAATCAAATATATTTAAGTATTTTTAGTAAATATATTTATGGTCTTTTTAGTGAATATATTTAAGTCTTTAGTTGGAATTCAGCACTACTTCTCCAGCTCACCAGATGTACAACACTCAGGAACTCCTCCACATATCGCTCCAAAGGCCGTCTAGCCTGCTGTATGTTCCAGATTAATTCCTCAGCCCAGTTCATAATTTGCTTGGTCCAGTGTTCTGTCACGGTGATTACTGTGTGGGAGCGAAGGAGAACGAAGACGAAGAAGTTTCACAAATAACTCTCTTTAATCATCCAAACACGGGGTAACACAGGGCAGACACGAACCCACACGTAGCACTTGGTATAGACCAGGGGTAGGCAAGTTCGGTCCTAGAGAGCCGCAGTCCTGCAGAGTTCAGCTCCAACCCTAATCAAACTCAGTGTGAAAGCAAAAGCACTTTATTTGGCCTTCCGGAAGTAGATGCATTTAGGAATCTTTAAGATTACTTACAACAGAACAGCAATGCATTTTATGGATGACCGTTTCGTGAACCTAGGAGAGGAGGTCATTCTGACTTTGCTATGACAATCTGGCGCTTCTGAATCAGCTACTGTTTTGTTATTAGTTTAAGTATTTGCTATTGACTGTTCAAATGCTGAGTTTTGCGCATCGTGTGTGTGTGAGAGAGAGAGACAGGGTCACATCACAGTAGAGTCAGCTGTCTTAACCGCGGCTTGTGTACTGCATCATTACTGTGTCTGTTCCCCTTTCGGGCTTGAACTGATGGTAAAACTAATGACATTATTTACTGTCTTTACATTTATTTTGAAAGATGAAGCTCGCGATTATGGTAAGGGGCGTTACATTTCCGACGAAACATAATGTGTTTTTTGAACATTAAAGCATGTCAACATATTCTGTTACACCAAATACACAAAATAATGATCTTTAAAAAAGCATCATATGACCCCTTTAAATAAAGGTCCACAATCATTTAGGTCTACAATGTTACACAAAATATTAAGCATCACAGCTGTTTTCAACATTGATAATAATAATAATAAATGTTTCTTGAGCTTCATATCAACATATTAGAATGATTTCTGAATATAATGTGACATTGAAGTAATTGTAATAAATTTAGTTAACAAAGCTTTGCCACCACAGGAATAAATTATTTTTTAAAACATATTAAAAAAACTTATTTTAATATTATTTTAAATTGTAATATTATTTCACGAAATTACCATTTTACTGAATTTTTGATCAAATAAATGCAGCCTAAGAGTGAGCAAAAGAGATGTCTTTAAAAAAATGCTTTTGTTAAACATCCTGTTAAACGAAATTACAAAATTAAACAGTTATAATGCCTTAACACTTTACGTCACACTGCCTGAACACCAACCTGTGCTGAATAGAATTGTCGTCCAGTTCAGATACTGTAATATGTGAAATGGTGATATTATACAACTATTTTAAATTAGCATTAGAGTAATTCCATTATGGAAGATTTTAGCATGGTAATAGATATGACAATGATATGACAAAGCAAGTGCAGGAACTTGCTACTGCCAATACATACGCCAATACAATGCTGTGAGTATTTAAGACATACTGCTGCTGCACAAATAGCATATATAATAACCCGTAGAGGATCTATACAGGTGGAGCTGGGGAGGTGGAGGTTTCAGAGAAACTCTGAAAGCGTGCTGCGAACAGCTCTAGTGAACGCTAACCAGCCATTTAAATGTAAAGCAGCAAGCTCATTGGCTGCATATGCAACATGAACCAATCATCTAATGCCAGGTAGTTTAACGCTGTGAATATCATCAATTTGAGTTTCATGACAGAACTTGGCATTTATTCTGCTTTGTTTATCTCTTAGGTGAGCGTGCTGACCACGCTGGAGCGGCGCTTCAATCTTCAGAGCGCTGATGTGGGCGTCATCGCCAGCAGCTTTGAGATTGGCAACCTGGCCCTCATTCTCTTCGTTAGTTATTTTGGTGCTAAAGCCAACCGCCCTCGGTTAATTGGCTGCGGTGGCATTGTCATGGCTTTGGGAGCGCTGCTCTCTGCATTACCAGAATTCCTCGCCAGTCAATACAAGATCACAGACACATGGAGCAAGGATCTGGGGCGAGACGTGTGCTCCAACACCTCTAAAGCTGATGAACCGTGTGGTAATAGAGCCAACACCAACATGATGTACCTGCTTCTGATTGGAGCCCAGGTGCTGCTGGGTATTGGTGCCACACCTGTTCAGCCCCTGGGTGTGTCCTACATAGACGATCATGTGCGGAAGAAAGACTCATCTCTCTATATAGGTAAGTAAGCATACTGTAATTTATGTTTGCTACATGCTTAGTTTACATAGCCACAGGCAGCAATTGTTTCGCATTAGTGAATTGCACCACAATTATTTAAGGAAAAGCATGTATCTCCCCTATGGCTTAGTAAGTAAAAAGTAGATGATTATCAGGGTGATTTATTGTGGTTTCAGGCCTTCCAATGGCAAGCCAAAAACCACTGATGTATTAAAGTGTAACAGCAAATAAGAAGCTTGAGCTGTTATGTGCCAGAAAGCAGCGTGTGCACAAAACCACTGGATCAATAAGAAAAAAAGCATATGCTTGTGTGGAAACGTGTTATGTTTTATATTGTTTGTGACCACAGCTTTCACAATATAATCAGCAGGTGAGCAGTGCTGGGAGGGTTTTAAACATAATTACTTTTATTTTGTATGTGTAGGGAAGAAGGGCATGGAGAAAGAGCGTAAAACATAATAACTCTTCTGTGCGAACAGTAGATAGCAGGTTTGTATATATATATATATATATATATATATATATATATGCACACTACCATTCACTACCGTTTGGAGTCAATAATACTTTTTTAATGAATATTTGTATTCATTAAATTTATCATAAGTGTCAGTGTTACAAAAAGAGTCTATTTAAAATAAATGCATTTATAGTCATCAAAGAATCCTGAAAACATGTTTCATGGTTTTCACAAAAATACTAAGCAGCACAACTCTTGTCAACGCAGATAATAAGAAATGTCATCTGCATATTTTAATGATTTCTGAAGGATCATGTGATACTGAATACTGGATTAATGACAGCTGAAAATTCAGCTTTGCAATCAAAGGAATAAATTAAATTTTAAAATGTTAAAATAAAAAAAGTAATTTTGAATTTTAAAAATATAATTATTAATATTTTAATGTATTTTTGATTGCATAAATGCAGCCTTGGTGGACATAAAATTATTTAAATATTTTCCACAACAAAAAAAACCCTTCAAATGATGCACATTATATTTACACCCATTCCAGGTCAGGACTTGCATTTCCACAGAATTATTCTAAAAGACAGTCTTAGATATGAAGATATGAAGACAGAACATGACTTTAATATTATCTTTAGTATAAAAACATGTGACTATAGTTTACTTGGTTGATTTTGCAGTTGTCAGGGTAACAAGAACAAGACAAATTTCATGTTCACAGAAAACAAGAAACACATCTCATACAGGTACAGGCAGCAATTCTTATCAAAGCACAAATATTTCCAAGTCTCAAAGAAAGTGGGCCATGGTTTGTTTCACATGCATGCATCTCAGTGATGAGGAACAGAAAGATAAGTGTTGAAAAGGAAGTGCCTTCAATCCCTGTTTGAAGCTGTGATGCTTTACCGGTTCCACATCAAACAGGTGTGAAAGTGATAAATCACAGTATATGTGATTGCATTAGATACAAAATATTAGATCAAGTGACATTTCTACTGATTAACATTAAATATGTACTGCTAATAATAATAATAATAATTATAAAGTGTAATTGTGAACAGTATATTTGTAATAATTCAAACTTCATGTGCCTGTGCTGTCTTGCTTTAAATTCCACTTGCTTTGATATTTTGTCATATAATTCATGTATATATATATAATTTGTTTGTTTAAATATTTTTCTTTTCAAATATTTTTAATATATATATATTTTTTTTTTTCATTCTTTCTCTTTTGCAAGTGTACAAAGTATTGATTGTATTTTTCTGTCGGGTTTATTCTCAAGTTGTGCAAGATCCTTTCATTTTCCTGTTCAGCTCAGTTTCTTACCTCAGCTCCTGTTCAAAGTTCTTTTATACATGCAACAGCAACAAACCAGCATTTCAGAAGGCTTTTGGGCAACCGTTGCGCTTGTTTGACACTGAGCAGTAGGAAATGGACACACACTGATTTCAGTGTGCAAGCTCAGAGGGAGATTTGGAGCTGTGCTTCTCTGATAAGCCGCACAACAGAGTTTGAAGGCAAACAAGCAGCGTTTCGTTTGAGAACAATGTTGTATTGTAGTGGAAGCTGCACTCAGCTGATCGTCTAAATCCCCGTGCTACAGGCATGGCATGTGCTGCATGAATGGGCCAGATTGTTCAGACATCACCAAGATTTCTTTTTTTTTTTACGTACTGCTAATATATTCTCAATTTGTAACACAACAACATAGCTTGTGTAATTGTTTTTCCTCTCGTAGAAACTGTTGAGTGCCGTTTGCTGTGTATAAATGTAGGCAAAATGCTTGCTTCAAACGAGTTAAACATTATATGTGTTTGATATCAATAAAAACACATTAATAGGTGGTACAACAAAGAGAAAGCAAATTGAAGCAATGCATTTTGAGCTATCATATTGATGCTTGTGGTTTATGCCACATGTATGGTGGTCTATTGTCATGGTTCATACTATTTTGTCAAGCTATTTTCAGAGTAGTTTTGTCAGCCTTCATTCAGTGTTGGGAGAGCTGTGTACTAGAGCTAATGATTTATTGAATATTTGCTATATATTTGCACTGATTTGCCGGCGATATAAAACTGGACAACATTGTGAATATTGCACTAATTTTAATGCATGCTTTTGGTTAAGTTTCCCAACTTATTTAATTAATAGACTAGTTTCCTTGTCTCATGAATTGGCATGAGAGTGTTAAGATATTTTAATAACATCTCTGATAAACTAATAAAAATTGTAATAAAACAGGTAAATATTAATAAATAGTGAAATATTATTAAAATTTTAAATAAATGTTTTCTATTTTAATAATTTTAATACAATTTATTTTGGTTTTTGCAAATCTAAATTTTCAGCAGAATTTTCTTCAGTGTCATGTCATCTTTCTAATATCATTCTAATATGCTGATTTGGTGCTCAAGAAACTTATTTTTGTGGAATTGATAGACATTTTGTAACATTATAAATGTCCAATGCTATCTCACTGCCTTTTTGTGCGTATTTTATGAGGTGGCTAATTCGTTCGGATTCGTACGACCTCACTCGTACAATTTTGTAAGATTTCTGTGATGGTTAAGTTTAGGGGTGGGGTTAGGAGTGGTCATTTGTACGAATTCCTATGAATTTGCCACCTCGTGAAATACGTACGATTTTTCACAAATTCGTACGTGTTAGCCACCTTGTCAAAAATGATACGATTTGCCGTGAGATTGGGTTGAAATGTTTTCACTGTCACTTTTGATCAATTTAATGCATCCTTGCTGAATTAAAGTATAATTTTCTTAAAAATTGAATAGTAGTTTATATATAATATTGACTATGTAATATATTAATATTTATATATAGTTATTATTTATAAAGTCAATTAGATTTAAACAATATTTATATTTTAGCTCTAATATAAAGCTCCATTCTGAACTGATAAGTGACTAACAGGCAAACCTTATATAGAAAACCATATATAGGCATTTTAATAGCCTCTGTTACCCTTTACCTTTAATGAGCTCGAACAGACCACATAATTGTGTCTTTTATTGGCTGTCAGCATCTTTGAATGTGGCTTCCAGGTCAGCCTGAACCCACCGTCGTTCTTATCTGCACTCCTGCAGCCTGAATGTCACATTGCACTCATGTGTTTCTGCACGCTCAGCACTCACAGTAAAAAGCCTTCATTAGTGGAGCACACGGTGGGATCTTATTAAAAAACGTTCATTAGTAGATTCAGTGCTTTAAAGCAAGAAAGCAGGGAAGAAAATAATCTTCATGGAAGATGTTGCACATGCACACCTTAACTTTCAGTGTCTCTATTATTATCCATCAAGTACTTTGTTTAAATAAGTGCTAGCCCACTTCTGCTGAAATCTGAAAAGAACACTAAATGGAGCTTTTATCCTCAGGAAAGCGGTTTGAGAAATATGCTAATGTCGGATGAGACAATTACCACCTGTTGGCCATGGCAACAGACGACTGACTTACTAAATGGTGATGCAAATTGCTTCAATAAACAACTTATTATGAAAATGCAACAAGATGCATGCATGGCATTGAGGTGTTTTCTAATAATGAACTGGGCCAATTTGTGTCCATAACATGTATATGTGAATGTAAGACAAGCTTTATCAGGGGTTTTTCCTCTGAGGAGGCAAAGGAGGCAGCGCCACTGTATAAAAATAAAACAACACAAATATTCTGAAAAATGGCATATGAAAAGTGTACAAATCACTTGTTTTTTTTCAAGTCACATGAAAGAAGGCAGTGCATCCATTGTGCTATGATTGGCCTATTGAGCTATTCATGCGATAAAACCTGCCTCTCGTTTTCATGCAGTTCCGTATCCGCAAACTGATCTGAATTAATAAATAATAAACTAATTGAAAGTAAATAAAAAAATCACCTACTTAGAGACCACCGCTTTATATCATGTCACATTTAACTTTGAAATGACTTGAAAACATGATCTGTGAAGGTTTTTTTTTTTTACACACACATGAAACCACCATCACAGAAACTCTTTAAGAGAAAAATCCTCGTTCATACCTTTTGGAAACTGACTTTTCAAATAAAAAATAAAAAAGCTTCTTTCTTATGCAATCAATGTTACCACCTGTTGAATTCTGCTTAATCTTTTCAATTCCAAGAAAAAAGAAAGATTAACCATTTTATAACCATTTTATGTTACATTCACAAAAATGTCTTGCAACAGGACTCTTTAGATCCTTTCTATTTATTGTACTTCTATGTTCTGTAATCCTGTCCTTTAATGAACGGGATGTTTCACCAACATAACTTTTATTACTTAATTTTATTATTTATGATGGTGGTTTCATGTGTGTTTCTGCAGTATATGTTTTCTGACGTGTGTTGATCTGATGTGATCAAATGAGACCAGTACATGACAGACATGAGTGCTTTTAGAGCATGCTTCTGGATGATCTCTGTAGGAGACGTAATTACAGAATGAGGCTGGAATGCCAACCAGTCAGCCACGAGGTGGGTCTGAACTGGCCCGGCAGCACATGCATACCGCACAGCCCTATGAAAAACAACTCCCACAGGGGGAGCTTGGCTTTTCCTGCTTCCTTACAGCAAGCCTCCCACAAATCTAACTGCCATGCCAAGTGCTTTTCATCATCAAACGCACAGATTTAAGCTATTAGGTCACTATTAGTCCCACTTCTCATTTAAGCTGTAGAATACATGAAGAGATGGCGTATATGGAGCAGTGCATTAGTAGTCACGTTTAGTAGAAACAATAGGTTAGAGGCCATCTGCAACAACGTTTCTGAAACACTGGTTCAACCAGATTTACACTTCGCAAATGCACCTCTATTTTTTGTAATTGTGACTTTATATCTCACATTTACAAGTTTTGTGTCTTGTATTTTTGAATTTAGACCTCACAATTACAATTATTTCTCATAGTTATGACTTTATATCTCACAATGCCTGTATATCTCTCAGTTGAAACTTTATTTCTCGTAATAAGGGCATTATATTTTGTAATGTGACTATATCTCACAGCTGCAACATCTCAAAATGTCACTTAATATCTCAGATATGACATTATATGTTGCAATTGCAACTTTATTTCTTGTAATTGTGAATTTATATCTCAGTGTGACTATATCTTTTTGTATTATGACTTTATATGTCAAAATGGAATTAATTGCAAGATATAGTCACATTGTGAGATATTAAGTTTCATTTTGAGGTATAAAATCACTATACAAAAAAAATGTTTTAGTTGCAAGATGTCAAGTTACATTGCAAGATATTGAAACTTATATAATTAAATAATAGTTTACATTTATATCTCACCATTACTAACTTTTTTCTAATTATATTTTGCAAAAAGTGACATAATTGTGCCTTTATATTTCACAATGTGACTATTATTGTTTTTGCACTACAACTTTATCTCACAATGTGACTTTATATCTTGTAGTTTCAACTTTATTTATTGTAAATGTGAAAGTATCTCACAATGCTTAATATGCTAAAAACTTAATATCTGACAATTGTGACATTTTTGTATTTGAGACTTTAGTCTTTGCAACTTTACAGATCTTCTTTATGCACCAAGAGCTTGTAACACTTCAAAGAGAAAGGAAAAATTGAAATCGCATCATATGACCCCTTTAATATCTCACATTCTGACTTAATATCTTGCAATTGAAACTCTTATTTCTTACAGTTTTGACTTTATATCTCACCATTACAACTATTTCTTATAGTTTGCATTTTATATCTTACAAAAAGTTACTGTTAGTTGCAACTATTTCTCGTAAATGTGACTATATCTAATAATGTGACTGTAAATTACACAATGTGACTTCACATCCTGCAGTTGTGACATAATATGTATGACACTTCACTTTTAAAGCAGGTAAACAAAGCTTTTGTATGATGATCTTATTTTTAGTGCCTCAACATTTGGGCATTTGACTAAAGCAAACAAACGCAGACTGGGTCAGGACTGAAAATGGACGCTGTTCCCAGAGCTCTTGTAACCTTTTGCAGTCCACTGCTAATTTTGGGTCTTCCCACAGGGGCTTAATTGTAGAAATTCACAGCATGTACATGCAGGGATCAGGTTATTGCCATGACTGTCAGGAACGCTTGACAGTCTGGCTCTCAATGCTTTACAAGCTTTTACAATGGCAGTAACATGATTCCTGCATGTTGACGTATGATTGGATTCATGTAGCCCAAAGACAGTGAGGGGACAGCAGCTGTAGACAGAGCTTATTCAAACACATTAGCCTGCTTGTGTTTGAATATCTGGTTTCTAGTAACTGATAAAAATCAATACATACACAAATTTCCAGACAAATCTGCAATAAAGAACTATGGATTTTGAAACTCTGATTGGTTGATAAGAATCACCAAAATACTGAGGAAAAATTTCTTACATTAGTGTGTGTGAACACAAAACATTTTGCAAAGGAAAACGTCAACAGTAAAAAAAAACTAAAATATGCAGTCAAGTACTGTAGCTAACACAGTGACAGACGTGAAGGCTGTTTGTTTTTGTTTCTGGTTAGGCAGTTCTGGGAAGACTTAACCCAGACCTGCTCTGGGCTTCGTCACACCACCCAGACCAAAGAAGATATGACAGATAAGTGGCTGGTGGAGGCAGGGAAATGAAATTCCCGCTTATTCTGCTGTAAGTTTATATGCAGGACACTGGCAAATGTCTGTAAAATATAACACATAGGCATCATATTCACAATGTGAACATTTATTAGCATAATGCACTTTGTTGTGGCATGTCTAATTTATGTTAAAGTTTTGGGTCTGCTGTTAAACATTTAATGTGTGCATCATATTTAAATTTTTTGCATATAGGTACATTCAGTAATTTTTCCTGATTAAAAAATATTAAATATATATATTTATTATATAGTTTGAAATAGGGCATGTATACAGCAGCATTAGAAATTTAAAACTTTTTTCTCTGCCATTAAAGTCAGCTCAACAAGCAAAAAAAAAATAAAAATGCATAACTGCATCTTAAAGGAATAGTTAAACCAACAATGAACATTTGCTGTGAATTTACTCACCCTCAGGCCATCCAACGATGTAGATGAGTTTGTTTCTTCATCGGAACAGATTTGGAGAAATTTAGCATTACATCACTTGCTCACCAATGAATCCTCTGCAGTAAATGTGTGCCGTCAGAATGAGAGTCCAAACAGCTGATAAAAACATCACCATAGTCCAGAAGTATTCCACACAACAGTCCATCAATTAATATCTTGTAAACCGAAAAGCTGTGTTTATAAGAAACAAATCCATCATTAAGGCATAATGAAATGTTTTAATCATTTTAACTTAATCGTCATAGGCGGAGCGTGTGTAAGGCTGGGGAAGACTTAGCTTTCCCCTGGCCACGGGGACTTGGGGCAAAAATGACACTAAATTGGACAAAAATGCCCCTGCACAAATCAATTAAATCTATTACGTCTGTTGCTAACAAAGTGAATATGAATAGACAGTGTCGATTGCGACGTTAAATTAAAATCTGCTCATGTTGCACCGTATTTCATTTTAGGCGTTTTTACAGTGTTGCGCATTTTAACCAATCACACACAATTCTGTTGAGCTTAGGAATGCAATGGCCGATCAGAAGCGTTCAGATGAGTCATCGTTCAAACTCATCAGTTTTGTTGAGTGCGCGCGCGTTCGCTGACTGAATTCCGGACTCTTGCGAATTCTCTCATCATAAACAACAAAGCGCAGATGTGCTTACAATGTAAGTAAGAGATTCATTTCACAGTGTATACAGCTTCAGTGATTATAACGATAGTTTTGTTTTTTTGAGAGTGCTTAAACTCGCTATAGATCAATGTTAGTGATAATGTCACTTTCTATATATAATTTATTCGCTGTTTGATTTATTCGCTGTCGCTTGTAAACGGTGCTTGATCTGGGCATATTTCTCTCCTGAATAAGATATTATGGATAGAGGACTTGTATTTTAGCCAGAAGCAGTGTTTTGAAGTTAAGAAGGTCTTTATGGATTTGTTCATTACAAACATACAGCTTTTCGCTTCTCAAGACATTAACTGATGGATGGAGTCGTGTGGATTACTTGTGGATTTTTGTGTTGTTTTTATCAGCTGTTTGGACTCTCATTCTGACGGCACCCATTCACTGCAGAGGATCCACTGGTGAGCAAGTGATGTATTGCTAAATTTCTCCAAATCTGTTTTGATGAACAAACAAACTCATCTACATCTTGACTGGCCTGAGGGTGAATACATTTTCGGCATCTTTTCATTTCTTAGGTGAACTGTTCCTTTAATTTGAAACCTCTGTCTCTGTCTGTCAATACTGTTGTCCACAGGTCTTTAAAAGTTCATATGTTTCTCTCTGAAGTTATCAAAGATACTTATGATATTGATTAACGATACTGGCAAATGCAATAAAATGCAATCTTTTGAACATTGAACTTTATTCTGCTATGTTGGTGTTTATCTGAAAGATGATGATTAGAGATCTCAGAAGCATCCCTAAGAGACACGTCAGCATGGCTGCTGCAGTGTTCAACTTCACCCCCTGCCATCAGCCACGCATGCTCACAAGCTGAAACACTGCACATGTAATGTCATCTTGAAGGATTAGATTCTAAATGGGTTTTTCCATCTCGCCGATAAGCTTCGTGCCAAGACCGCGCCTTACTAACTCCTGTTTGTTTAATTTGAGAACAATGAACGTTGTCATCTCTTGCTCTGCGGGGGTGAGAGAACAGACTCCAGCAGTCCTCTCTCCCAGACAAACCCATTCTTTTCAGTCTCCTGTCAACTCCTGCATTATTTTGCAAGATAAATGTAACCAACCCTCTCTTTAAGTTAGTCTCAAGTGCTTTAGCACATACTTTTTCAGAATAATTAGCAGTAGCACATAGTCAGGGGTGTCGTGCACCTATTTTTTGGAGGTAAGCCATAGTTCACTTACGTAAGACATGACCAAATAATTTTTTGTGGTTATTGTACAATCACATTAAGTATTATAAATGGAGGTGTTATATTTACAACAGTGTTTCAGAGAAACAAAGTTTGAAATACAAAACAATAATTATGCAACATGCTAATATTTTGGTGGGAGAGTTGCGTTATCAACTCACTTGGCTCAGAAATCTGAAGGGTTTGTGTAGTTTGAATGGCCATGGTGCTTCTGCAGAAAGAGACTGGGATATGCTACTTAGAAAGAAACTAATCACGTGGGCAGAAAGCAGTGGTAAGATGATTATGTTGAGGCTAGCATGTCCAACCTTGGTAAAGCCCAATTGAAGGCACTGCCTTTGAACTTGGATAAAACTGATTCATTTAAATGGAACAAAGGCAGACATCAAGATTAGCATTAAGACTGCATTAAAATGAGGTTGAGTAACATCATTGGAGTCATCTGGCGTCACTCGCCTTACTTAATCCTATCACTGTTCAATCTTGCTCGCCATTTAGACTAAACAAATCCTAGGTAATAGAAAAGAGCTACTTTCCCTTCCAAACAATCTGTGCTAACCACAGACTGTCATTCAGCCGTGTGGAGGCACAGGATACAGCATTTGAATTGCAAGACCATTTTTATATCATGTTTTATTGCTACTATAACCACTTAGACCATTTAATTTGCTCTTCATTATAATGCTCATTATTATAAAAAGACAAGAAATGGCTTTGCACATTGATTCCCATGCTTCCATCCTTCTCCACTAGCCTTAGAGGATGCGATGTCAACTGTTGTTAATGGCAGGCTTGTGCCAGATCTGTGCATCCTACTGGCTGCTCGTAATTGTTATTTTCTGTTTCATGCTCTACAATGCTTGTAGCCCTGTCAAAAATGGTTTGTTGGAGATGGCTTATGAGATGTGATGACCTAGTAGTCCAAAAAACTGCTTGGGAACTTTCCACCACACGATTTGTATGAATGTCATTGCATAAGGAAATTTTGCTTTGGCTTTTAACCAAATAGTGTCAAGTTACTTTTTTATGGATATATGAAGTTAGTTCATCACATTAACTATAAACGTGTTTCACAAATGTTTGAAATCCACAAAAGGTCCAAATGCAATTTGTCCTAATTCTGAGCAGTTTTAGTAGTTGTTTTAGCAATAAAATCCTAAAAAGAAAAATATTTTACTTAAAAAAAGTATGCCTTTTTTGTTATTTGTTTGTTTTCTTTTCTTTTCTTTAAAACAGTGTACTTTGTTTTGTTTATTTTGTTTTGCTTTGCTTAAACATTTGTTTGCATAAAAAAGTGTTTGTTTTTTTTGTTTGTTTTGTTTGTTTGTTTGCATGATTCAGTTTTTGTTTTGTTTAGTTTAGGTTTTATTTGCTGTTTGTTTTATGTTATTTGTTTATTTTGTTTTGCTTTGCTTTGGTGTGGTTTGGTTTATTTGCTGTTTGTTTTAGTTTGGTTTGGTTTGGTAGTTTATTTTGTTTTGTTGTGCTTTAAAAAATGTACTTTGTTTTGTCTTAGTGTGGTTTGGTTTTATGTGCTTTTTGTTTAGTTTTGATTTGATTTTATTTGCTGTTTGTTTTGTTTTGTTATGCTTTAAAATGTTCTTTTTTTTTGTTTGTTTGCTTATCATTCATTCAAATATTTCTGTTGATCCACAAAAACATGTATCACACTTCAGCTTCATGTTTGTGTATGAATATAAGCCTATATATTTTTTTTTTTTAATAAAGTGCCTAGTGTTATGGCGTTCATATTTTTTTATTTATTAATTTTTTTTAGTGTGACTGAAGTGTTCAAATACATTTTGTGGCTGCTCAGACTTTTGACATCCCCCCCCCAATCACATCATGGTTTTTCTGATTGTGCAATCTGGACTTGAAATTATCGGACTGAGATGCTCAGTCCCTCCTCTGGCACATCATTTCTCACTGTCTTTAACTGATCCAGGAATCTTGGCACTTCAAATTAGGCATGATTTGATTAGACTAGCCTGTTCTTACTGCCCCTGGCATTAGTGTAAATACCTGGACTTATTGATTGAGTGGTTATTAGCTCTCTAAACTCCTTCCTGTGTGTTCAGCTCTTTGCATCAATGGTGATTTGAGGTGCAGGATAGGGTTGTCTGATTAAATGGGTGTGGATCAATAAGGGTTGGCTAAAATTATTATATTCAGTGTTCACTCGTATTATTGATTGTTAGGAGACATCCTCCATTTTTCTCTGAACATGCCTAGCTGAGTAACACAAGTAGTATTGGTAGTAAATATGCAGAATGGGATTGCACATTAAATACACCTCTAAGATAATGCACAGCTCAGGTTTCCAACCACAATCTGCTGTTTATCCACAGTGTAAGTCGATGGAAAAGCATTTACTGTGATTTAATAAAATCAATACTGGCCGTGGATAAATTATTCCATTTATTAGGACCAGTGATAGATTGATATATTGGTCAGGTTGACAAATCGAGAATTTTTTGGCCATTTTTACATTATTAAGTCTGAGACTTGTGGATACATTTTGCTCATACGTTTTGGGTTGGTAAGATTTTAGCAAGTCTCTGAGGCTGAATTAATAGACAGAAATATTGTGGAATATTATTGCAAGAAAAATAGCTGTTTTCAATTATAATCAAAGCATTCTTTAATGAATAACAAACAGAGCTTATTTGAGTGCTCAATTTCAGACTTTATTGTGTTCTTGCTGAATAAAAGTATTAATTTCTTTCGAAAAAAAAAAAAAACGTACTGACCCCCAAACACAAACTGCAAATATTGAGCATATAATTGCATTTACTTCTACTTCTATTAGTATTAGTATTATTAATAATAATTATTAGATGACTGCACTGTTTAAATATATATATATATATATATATATATACAGTATATTACTGCTGTCAAACGATTAATTCATTGCATCCGAAATAAAAGTTTTTATTTATGTAATATATGTGTATGTACTGTGTATATTTATTATGTATATATAAATACACACATAAGGTATATCTTTTGAAAATATTTACATGTATTTACATTATATATTTATATTTATATAATTTATATTATATATAAATATATTTAATATACCAGTATAACATAATTTTCTTAAATATAAACATAAATGTGTGTTTATTTATATATACATAATAAATATACACAGTACACACACATATATTATGTAAACAAAAACTTTAATTTTGGGTGCGATTAATCGTTTTAATTTTTTTTTTATTAATTGTTTGACAGCACTAATATATATATATATATATATATATAAACACTGTCAAATATGATCTATAGCTGAATGAATATGTTGTGATGCCTAAATTCAGGTGTAGGATTTAAAACAACTACTTTTAGTCTTAGCAGTTTCAGTTTATTCAGACAAAATAGTATATCATTTTAATATGGGCCTTATTGCTTATTGTCTGTTTGGTTTTAGAATAATTTTTGATAGTTTTCAGCATACTATTGTGCATTTAAATCGGAAAATTTCATATCTTATGTGTTTTCATTAAAGTATTCTATTTATATAATTTTATCAGCGACGTGAACACTCATCTTTAGATATTAGCATTGGCATCTGCCATTACAAAACCCATATCAGAGTGCATTAGTCAGGACATGGCATAATATATCTACAATTCATCTTTAGCTCAGTTCATCACAATCATGTTTGTTTGAAAGATCAGTATTGCAACTTTCTACCAATACTAAAGTTCATACATGGCAGATCTAGTCTATTTACTGCTTTCCTTCCGGATGTAGTACAATTAGCGCCTAATTACGAATAGCAGGCCTGCTTTGCTCTAAGGGGCTTCTTTATTCAGTGGCCTGGTTCCTCTCTGGATACAGCTTGAAAGTATCTGGAGACCCGCTGTTGGCACCGTTATACTGATAATTAGGCCAAGGCACCTGCTGGAGAAGGGTGGACCAGCTGTAGTCAATACTGCGGCCCCCTCCTCCAGTGCAGCTGTAGCTCTTCACCAATAGGCCCATGGAGACTTCAGGCCTGCTGCTTCTTCAACACTACTGCCTGCTCATCTTCTCTCAGGGCTTTTTGTGTTTCTGGCTCTTAGCACAAGGGAAACTTCAGACACAGCAGCCAAAGTATGCTAGTTGTGCCAGTGGCCAGGACATAGCTGCTGGACTTCTGTCTCTACTGTCATTCCATCTTTTTGGTTTTTGTCTCACTCTTTGCCCTTGTGGTGCAATATAAACAGTCAGGACGGTCTGTTTGCAAACATGCCAGCCCTGGTTTTATAATTTTATCATATTTGTTGTAATGTAAGATTGCCACAAGCTATTATTATACAACCAACTGCTACAAAGAAAGTGCAATGATGCAGAAGATACAGAGAAATGTGTGATCATTTCCCTTATTCTGCATTTAGACAAAAGGAACATTTAGCCAATGCTAAGACTAAGGGGTCAGGGCTTGACTGGTTTGCATGATTCAGTTATACCAAGCTATTTTATTTTATTTTATTATTTTGTTTTGTTTTAGTTTAGTTTAGTTTATTGTTTATTATTTTATATTTTATTTTATTTCGTTTTTTTCTTTTGTTCAGTTTTTTTTCCGTTTGACTTTTGTTTAGCTTTGCTTTGCTTTGTTTTGATTCGT